GAGGTGCAGAGAGAACGCTGCAGAAACCTGAGAGTCGGAGCATCTCCTGGCAGAGCATCACTTACTGTAAATGTTTTCTGGTTCTTCCAGGATCAAGTTAATCAATAAGTTTGACCCAGACAAGACCTGCTCACTACCTGAGCACATAAACTGATGTTTGCAGCCATTCTTCTTTTATAAATAATGAATTTTGTACTCAGGGTGTAGTTTTAGAGGCCATTAAAGGAGATTTATGAACATAATTTACCAGCTTTGTGCCACCAGGTTATTTAAAGTGCACTGGAGGTGGGTTTTTGTCTTGTTTTAAATTTGAGGCTTTGACATGGTCTCATCATTGAAAGTAGACCTTAAAGCACTAATTATAACAGTAACCTTTAACCCTAAACTTTAGCCTGGTTAAAGCTGTGATGTGGAAAATATCCACCCGGTTCATCCTCCTCTTGTCTCTGCTCTCCATCAGACGGTGAAGCAGATGTGGCCGTTCATCTGCCAGTTTGTGGACAAGTTGTTCAGAGAGACCATCGAGCCGGCGGTGAAGGGAGCCAACCCCCATCTCAGCACCTTCTGCTTCACCAAGATCGACCTGGGYGACAAGGTGAGGAACCTCTGCTGACAGAACATCAGTCTGCATGCATCCTACCTGCTGTATTATTACCATTAGATTCAATAGAGATTAAAGCGATGAGTTGTTTTACATTAGCTTCTYTGACTCTATGATACAAAGTTCAACATGACTTCCTTTATAAATAGTTAAATAAGGCAGGGTTCCTGCAGATCCTGAAAAGGTCTTAAAGGACGTTGATTTCATCAATCCAAAAATAAGGCCTTAAATGGCATTAAAATGTCTTAAATCAGTCTTTCAGAGGTCTTAAAATGTTAACATTTTTGATGGTAGTAATGATAATACACACAAATACACTTGTGTCTTTTTTGATACCGTAAAAAAACAACCGGAGCACTGACCCGGCTCTGCTTTAGTTATTCCACTATCATATTCAAACAGATATCCCTCGACCGACCATCTCCCCTCCCAAAACAGAAACACAAAACTGAAAAGTGGGAAATCAGTATCAGACATTAATATCAGCCCAGTTTATCAGATCGATACGACAGTGGTTCCCAAACTTTTTATCTTCTGACCCACAAAATATCCATGGCAAAAACTTGTGACCCCAAATATTGCTGGTCTGAGTACACAAACTTTGTTAATAACCCTAAAAACACAGGCTTTTTGACAATCTAAACAGTCTGTACACAAATATATATACTTATTTATAC